GTCACATAATACATGCCATTCATTTCATATGCACTAGGCGGCCCCGCAGACCCCACTCAGGCTCACATGCTGGGACAGGCTCCCAGGCGCACCGCTCAATTTGGTTCAGCTGGAAGGGGTGGCAATGAGGCTCACGTTTCTTCTCCCAGGATGGGCTGGCAGCGAATCTGCATCCCCGTGGGCCCGGGTGGTGGGAAGCACAGAGCGAGGGCCCAGGACTGGCCTCTGGTTTCCAGAACTGGGCTCCCACACTAGCTGCGCGCTCAGTGTTTACTCAGTGCACCACGGCAGTTCTGGGCCCGGGAGGGTTAGGCCGGCAGCCTCAGGCTGAGCGCGCCTGTCGAGGAGGCGGAGGCGAGTTGACAAGGGAACAAGGAAGCGGCGCGTGGAGTGCGAGCTGTAGGAAGCGGTGTCGCCTCTACAGAGAGCGGCGTTTGGTCAGGATGCTACGGGAGGAAGGCTGGAGGCTCCCAAGTCCTGCTGGGTCCCAGGGACATCTTCAGAGTGAAGCGGATGCCACTGGAGCTGTGCTCTGAGGGATGAGCAGGAGTCGCCAAGCAGAGGGCGGCAAGATGGACATTTCGGGCAAGGAGCCTGGTGTAGGGCGTCCCAGCAAGTGGCGATCCTGTGACTGGGGTGTGGGGTGTGTGGGGCCAGAGCAGGAGCGTTCGTGTAGATCTGGGATGGCAGAGCCTTTCCCCAGCTCCCAGGGAACCTGGTGCCCAGAACAGTGTTGGGGGGCGAGGGGACATGTTGTGGGGGCACAGCTCTCCAGGGTCATGATGTGCTCAGTTGGTGGTTCTTTGTAGGGTGGCCTTTCTGTTTAGAGGACTTGTTATTTATTCTTTCCCGTAATCCTGCTGTCCATGGAACAGAGCAGCTTCCTGGCCCTGGTAGGCACTCAGACGGTGTGGAGTCCATCCCCCTTACCCGAGAAGGCTTTTCTACAAAGAGCGACCTTAGGTTCCGCATAGTTTTTCTTCTGGAGCTGGGACCTAGTGGACAGGAATGAAGGAATGGGGTTCCCCATGCTCAGATTCTGGGCCCGGTGGAGAGGAGCAAAGCAGGAGCTCTTGGGACAAGGGCGTGTGCCCAGGGCGGGAGGACTGCAGCCACATGGCGTGGGAGGGGCTGCTGAAGGGCATACCTGAGTGAGTGACTGGGCTTGCCAGAGGAGGCTCCTAGCCGCGGTGGCCTCCTGAGCCAGTCTCCTCAAATCATCTCCTTCAAACAGTGGCAGCACGGAGTCCTTGGGAACGGGAAGTGAGTGTTCAGTTAGACCCACAAAGTGACTAGATGGGACATGAAAACCCAAAATCTCAGCAGGAGAATTTTTGAGCTAATTAAACACAGTCTCCCACCCAGTGCAGGACAGTTGTGAACCCCACTTGCATGTTTCCAGGGACAGGGAGCTCGCCACTGCTTAAGGGGGTCATTCTGCAAACAGGACGTTTTGCCAGAAGATGTCTGAGAGGCCGTGGAGGGAGGGTAGTGGAAATCGAGGCGGGCTCTGGACTTCACTGAAGTCAACAGAACAGAAGCAGCAGGGGCTCCCGATCCCACTGTTGCGCAGTAGCATCTATTCAGCCCTTTCTCGATTTCTTGTAATAAATCAGAGCCTCCCAGACATGCTTTTCCTTCTGTCAACCAATGAAATCCCAGGGCCTCGCCTTAAAAGGAAAGTCCTCACAGGTAGCAAGAGACTCTGAGAGATGCTGGCAGGAGTCGTGGGATGAGCCCATTCTACACCCACAGACTCACTCACAGTCTCATTTGATCAGACTCTGAACTGAGGACCTTCACAACATTCAGTTCCTTTTCCTGTGTAATGAGGGCATTCGTTACTTTTACTTGTGCTGTCCTCTGTATTACTTGTAATACTTGGCCCTAAAGCAGTCACTTGAACAAAGAAATCATGCAAAACACTTGACTTCAAAAAGTATGCCATGGCCCTCGTCAGTTTGGCTCAGTGGATAGAGTGTCGGCCTGCAGACTGAAGGGTCCCGGGTTCGATTCCGGCGAAGGGCACATGCTCAGGTTGCGGTTGTGGGTGGGAAGGGATCCCCAGTGGGGGGTGTGCGGGAGGCAGCTGATCAATGATTCTCTCTCATCATTGATGTTTCTGTCTGTCTCTCCCTCTCCCTGCCTCTCTGAAATCAATAAAAGAAATATATATTTTTTACAAGTAAGGCCATGTCCTGGTACAGTAATCTTCTATTTTAAAAAAAAACGATTTTAGAGAAGAAGGGAGAGGGAGAGAGAGAAAAACATCGATGTGAGAGAGAAACATCCATTGGTTGCTCCCACACACACCCTGACTGGGGATCAAACCTGCAGCCTGGGTATGTGTCCTGACCAAGAATCGAACCTGCGACCCTTCAGTGCCCAGGACAATGCTCAACCAATGGTGAGCCACACTGGCCAGGGCCTGGGGCAGTGATCTAATTCCAGAAAAAAATCTGGAGTTCTGGTGGGCTGTGTTACTTGGTCATTTGGAAATGTGATCATTGCCAGTGGAATGTTCTAAAAGGTAGAAACATGTGCGTACTTTTCTGTTCGATTGGAGGAGGACCACTGATGTCTCCCTCTTGTCCCATGTGTGATGGAACCCGTGACTTTAACAGATTATTATTTACCAGGTCATTTGAATATCTGTTTCAGTGACTCTAATCCAGGGAGACAGAAATATGTGGGAATCAAAGCCCAGCGCTCAGGAACACGGGGTGGGAGTGTTGGGGGGCGGGGGGGCGTCTGAGCTCCTTTGCACTGCTCTGACTCGGGCTGTTCCCAAGCCTGGCTGAGCCCGCTTCCTCTCCTGAAAGGCCGGGACTGGCTGGGGACAGTGGAAGGGGTTGTCTATAAAAAGCAATGGCCTGTGCCCAGTGAGTGCTCAATAATGCAAACTGTTGTGTCATTAAATAGCACCCGAAACGCTGCTTCTTTGCCAACCTTGAGGAGAGCCGCCCAAGAGGAGAGCAGCAGGGAGGCACAGCCTTTGTTGCCAGTCCCTTGGCAAGAGACGCAGGGGCCTCCGCAGTGAGGGGTGACAGCCATGTCTGCTAACATTACTGAGCCATTGCAGTGGCTCCACAGCCTACCCGGTCATGCAGGAAGCTCTTGAGCAGGCGGTGAATGTGGGAGACCAGGTCCTCACCAACAAGGCAGTGATAGCGCCCCCCAGTGAGGGAGGCCAGGTTCCTCAGGAAGGCACCCTCCGCCCTGGAGGGAGGAACAGAGAGGGCCGGGGACAAGACCACTGAGCCACCAGGCCCTGCCCTGGGACCCCAGTGGTGGGTCCTGGTGCAGAAGTCTGCAGGGCAATGGGCCTTGGACCCGGAGGCTCTGTGCCCTTGAGGCGGTGTCAGCATCACTGAGCCCACTCTCCCAGCCAGTCCTGGCCGGTGCAGCAGTTGTGGAAGCGGATTCACTGTGATGGTGCCATCATTTAGACTGGACTCCTCAAGGCACACGGCTGGCATACTTCAGCCCTCTTCCTAACTGGACCACCATCCAGTGCCTACTATGTGTTAGGCCTGCCAGCGACACAGTGTGACCTTTATGGAGCTCATAGTTTAGACACAGAAATAAAATACACACCTAAGTAATCACATCTATACTAATAAAAGGGTAATATGCTAATTAGACTGGGAGACCTTCTCGCAGACCTTCCGGACAAAGCCATGGTGGTGGGCACGAGACAGAGGCACTTAGGGGCGATCAGGCTGGCAGGGGAAGGCATTTGGGGGTGAGCAGGCTGGCAGGGGGGCACGCCGGATCTCACAAGCCTAAACCAGCAGTCAGATATCCCCCAAAGGGTCCCAGATTGGAGAGGGTGCAGGCTGGGCTGAGGGATACCCCTCCCCTCCCACCCCGTGCACAAATTTCATGCACCAGGCCACTAGTGTTAAATAATCAAATTTTACCAATACTGTTAACAATTTTTTCTGAAGCACTTAAATTCTCCTGTCTAACATGTTTTTCTCGGTGAACATTTATAATAACAATCACAACAATGCTATCTTAAACTTTTTCCTCTAAATCTTCATAAATGTGCTCCCAGAAAGGATGGGGAGAGTGCAGTGTGGCCTGGAGTCTGCGCAGGCCCTCGCTGCAGCCAGGCCCCTGCTGGGCGGGCTGAGGGTGGCCTCGCTGTGCTCATGCCCGGCCCTCCCGGTGCCCAGCTCCTGGGGCTGGGCCCGGCGGCACCGAGTCTGAGGGAGCCCCACCTGCCTGCGCCGCTCAGGGAAATGGTGTGCACTTTCACGCGGTGCGCCTCTGTGAGCCTCCGGACCTCACGTAGAATGAGGCTGCAGCTTGTGTCCGGCTTCCCATCGGTCAGGAGGTACAGCCCTTCCACATCGCGAAGGCTGAACGCCTTCTGCAAGAGCACCAGGGTGCGTGGCTCAGGGCTGGCGCCAACCGGAGGGGAACCACGGCCCGCTGTTCCCCAGGCCCCCCTCAGCCCGCCACCGGCAGGTCAGGCACAGGCGCTCCTGGCTCTCCACCCAGCAGGTCAGTCACCTCGCTGAGCCTGTCTCCTTCCATAGAGGGAGAGAACAGGAACCCCTCTCTCTGGGTTGTTGGGAAGATCAAATGATTTAACACATAGCAAGTCCTAAAGTATCAGGCCAGGTCTGTATATAGTGTGATGCTATTTCCTCTTTGTTACCAGGTCAGGTTCAGGGGCGTAACTTGCCAGTAGCGCCTGCAAGACTGAGGTGCTGCCCTGAGCACGCAGGTGGGTCACCCACTGCGTGGCCTCATGACATGCTGCGTCTGTGGTCTCCACCAGAGAGTCCTGCCACAGCTGCAGGCCCTCTGCAAAGCTGATGAGGTTAAAGCTGGGGAGGGAGGAAGAAGTTGGTTAGAAGGGCCCGTCTATACTGAATTCTGGTGAAGTAACCTTCGCAAAGACTCACGTCTGCCGGGGGCCTGCGGGAGAGGGCTGTGACTACCCGAGGATAAGCAGGCACAAGGTGAGGCGCTGGGCGCAGTCAGAGCAAATTTAAACACCCCCTCAGCCCCTTGCAGGTTATATGATCTCAGAGAAATTTAACCTAAGTCCTAGCTTCCTTTTCTGAAAAATGGGGCTAATTACCGTGCCTCAGGTCACTGGGAGGATGGAGTGGAACCATGAATGTAAGTGCTCAATAACTATTTCTTCTTTTTACCATTAAGGCGAGAGTGAGTCCCAGCCTCGGACCAGCCTCCTGCTGTCCCCTAACGGTCAAACCTTCAGAGTAGAGGGGACACACCCTGCCTGTGAGTGCAGTTCACGGCGGTCCTTTCCTCCGTGCAACTGCCTGGGCCTGAGCAGGTTCCTAGAACCCGCCTCACTCCCCGGGGAATCCAGCGCTCTCTTGCCCCAACAAGCTCTTCATTAGGGCACTTCAGAGACATCTTGGCCCTTGGGACAGCGAGGAGGGCGTGCCCTCGGCCAGGGACGCCCAGAACTACCCCTTCGATCTTCTTCCGGCCCCACACCCCTGCCTCTCACCTGTCACAGTGCTTTCTCAGCTGCTCCCAGATCAGCAGAATCAGCTCTGTCTTCACCTGCGGCAGGTCGGGGCCCATGGACCCTGAGGTGTCCAGCAGGATGCACACTCTCTTCTCCAAAATGGTGCCGAACAGTCGGCGGCTCCCTGCGCCAGGGGGGTTGGGGCAGAGGCAGGGAAGGAGTGAGGGCTCACCCCTCCGGCTGCCTTTCCTCTCTGTGGCTGCCCAGTTCATGATCTTGCAACACCTGTTGCCTGATTGATCCTTGATCAGATGTCAACCCACTGGGAGATGGCCTTTGTGTTGTTGGAGGGGTCGACTGTCCTAGGGCAGAGGGGCCGGTGGTCTGGCTGCGGCTCTGCCTGTGACCACTTGTTCAAGTGGTTATAACTGCCCTGGCCTTGAGTTAAGGGATTGGACTCAATAGCACCTCAGTAATGTTTGGTCTGGAAATGATATTACAGAGCACAAAGTCCACCGACCGACCAACAGAAATCAGCTCCGCGTCCTTTAGCGCCTGGTACTGTGCACGTGCAATGGTGAGCGAGAGAGGGGCACGGAAGACAGGTGTCGCACAGACAGAGCTGTGCTGTGGCTTCTGACAGTGTTAGTGCAGCCCATAGCGTGGAGATCTGAGTTAGAGGGATGTGGGTGGGAAGCAGACCAATTATGACTGAACGTTTGAGGATGCCCGGGACTGAACGCTTGAGGGACAGAGAGAAAGCCAATGTGTGGGATAACAAAGGCTGAGCAGAGAGACCATGGGAGATGGACAAGAGAGAAAGCTGGAGAGGTGGTTCATGGACTGGGGATTTATCTCATGGGAAAACAGAGAGGGCCACTGACTTGCCCAGGGTCACCTGGACTGGCAGTGAGCGCTGAGATTCATTCCCGGGTCCTCTGATGAACACTTTGAGGCAACCGCTAACCATGGCCTCTCTGGAGTCTTTGGACAGTGGTAGTCATCACTACACCACCGCCCAGGGCCTGCCGCAGAGGAGTGGCCGGGTGGATTCCACAGGGACCGAGGGCCCCACAGGGCTCTCTGTAAGGCTCCTCCTGTCTGCCTTCTTCCTGTTGCCCTGGGAACCACAGGCTGAGAGCCTACACCTCCCCCCTCTAGTTCTAGTGTCTTCCTGGCCTCCTGGGCCTGATGCTCGGTCCACCTCCTCACCCAGCACACCCTCCTCTGGGCTGTGAGCCTGGCTCTTCTCGGCTCTCCTGTCCATCACTTATCCCAGAGGGCCTTGGGCTCCTGGGGACTTTTCTGTCAGGCCCCCCTCCCATCTCTGCCTTCATGGGAAGTTCTATGGGGCCCAACCAAGACTAATCTGAACCTGGGCTGGTGTGTGACTCAGTCGGTTGGAGCGTTGTTCCGAACCCCAAAAGGTGGCGGGTTTGATCCCCAGTTGGGGCTTGTGCAGGAGACAGCTGATCAATGTGTCTCTCTCACACCAATGTTTCTCCCTCTCCCTCCCTCCCTCCTTCATATAGAAAAAAAAAAGAATAAATTTAAAGAAAAAGAATGAATTGAACCTCTTGATGGTCATCCCTCGGTCACACCCAGGGAGGCAAGGTGTGGCAGCTGGCCCTGCAGAACTCATGTAGACAGACTTGGGCCCCCTCTGGTGCTCTTTGGCCCCTGCTCCACCTCCCTGTCATCCAGCACCTTGCCAGACCTCTGAACCCAGAAGTCATGCTGTACCTGACGACCCTCCCGCCTAATCCCCCACCTGACTGTGTGAGTGCCTGGCCTGGGAAGGCCTGGCCCTGGTCCCTGAGGTTGCCTTCCTCTTCCCCTCCCCTCCACCCCCAGGACAGCAGGTAGGCTCACCAGATAGCAGCCACTGCAGCCTCTGGACACAGCATCTTGCCACCTTCTTCAGGCACATGACGTACGCTCCCGTTTCCCGGGGTGTCCACCGACTGTGTCCCAGCGCCCCCTGTATAACGCGTGAAGGCAAATTCCCATCACTTTTCTTCAATCCCCATCCCCCTCTGAGATAGTCCTCTGTGTTAATAATTTCCCAAACATTGTTAAGCATACATTTTGTTTGTTTGTTTTAAAGCGTTTCTTTTATTCTATTACTAGATGTATGGTTCTAGGACAGAATGGGGAATTGGGGATAATGGTACTGAGGCAAATGTGGTCACTATAACAAATACAGTATCTTTACATTTTTTAAAAAATACATTTTTTTTAATTTCAGAGAGGAAGGGAGGAGAGAGAGATAGAAATATCAACAATGAGAATCACTAATTGGCTGCTCCTGCTCCCCCCACTGGGGCTCGAGCCTGCAACCCAGGCCTGTGCCCCGACTGGGAATCGAACTGTGACCTCCCACTTCATAGGATGATGCTCAACCACTGAGCCACTCTGGCCAGGCCTATCTCTGAATTTTAAAGCAGAAAACTACTCATGGTAGAATGGGAGGTCCATAAATTTCAAACTAAAAGGTGACCTTGGATGGAGAGGGGGACAGCATGATTAAACTCCCTTAAAATTTTTCTGTTGGATGATTTTGAATTTGGTGGCTATTTTTAGCTTTATGGTTACCTCTCGTTGGTAATCTATAATAATAAACAAGTAATATGCTAATTAGACTGCACAGCCAAACAACCTTCCGGACAAAGCTGGGGCTGCGAGGGCTGAGGCAAGCTGCTGCAGCTGCCAGGCAGAGCCCCCTGCACGAATTTCGTGTATTGGGCCTCCAGTGTTGTAGAAAAGGGCGAGGAGAGAAAATGGGTCTTTAACAAAGCACGTTTAGATTTTCATTTTGTACTAAATGTGCTTGTTCCAATGGGAACACAAGAGCCCAAATGTAGAAAATAGAGACCAGAACCCTCACCTCCGTGAGGACCCTGCTCCCGCCATCCTGGCAGCACCAGCATCAATTCTGGGGCCAGAGTCCCTGCTGGTGAGGATGCCAGCCTCTGCCTGTGTGCTCAGCACGTCTCTGACGCTCATTGCAGGGAGCCCCTCTAACCTGAGTGCGGCCTCAGCCCCCTGTGCTAAGGCAACTGGGCTGGCAGCTTGAGTCTGCATTCTGGCACCTGTGCTAACCCATAATTCAGCCCCAACCCCCTTCCCGCTTGTGCCTCAGCCTTGCAAAACCTGTTTCCCTAAACACTTAACTTACAGGGCCATCGACCATGCACAGCCCCCACAGGGGGTTGCCTGCTGGCGCCAGCCAGGGCGATGGTCATAATCTCACTTCCCCCTTACAACCGTCATAGGGCTGCAAAACCCCACGAAAAGCCCGGAAGCTGAGAGACAAAGAAACTTAGGGCTATTTAAGAGAAAACCCGCTCTATTCGGGGCTCAGCTTTGGGAACTGATTCCCTGAGCCAGCAGCACCGGTGCTCCCGCAATAAGCGCCTTTTCTGAATCTTCCGAGTGCCTGGTTGTGTGTCCTCCCGCCACCTGGTCATTTCGGCAGCACCTAGGGGCTCCCTTTTCCTCCAGCAGGATTTATCCCCCAAGAGCAGCCCCACTCGGAGGGGCAAGGTTTGGCAGGAAGAACAGCAGCCATGTCTGTACGTCACAGAGTCCCCCCCAACACCCGCTGCCCCTGTGGCTGAGAGGAGCCAGGAGAGAAGACCACCGCCTCCCAAAGCCCGACTACCCGCTGGGGAGGGCGCTGTCGGTCGCGGCTACTGCTGGCCTTCTTACCAGCCTCCGACGGGTGCCAGTGGGGCCGCGGCTGGAGATCTCCATCTTCAGTGCTTTCAGCCCATAATTTGCTACCCACTTTAGAATAAAGAAAAGGACTGTTATCTTGGGTAATTCAGGCTGAAGTGAATGACTAAAACCTCCTCTTTGAAATCTAGTTCATGTTTGAAATGTGGGGTTCCTTGGTCCTGGTAAAGTAAAAACATTCAACGCTGTAAAGAATTTTTGTGAGTTTATTTCAGCCAAACTGTCAACAATTTGCTGGGAAGCAGAATCTCAACTGATTGGGATAGTGCTCCAGAGAATGGCGGCTTTTCACTTTGTTTTATACATTACAATCAAGGGAGGAGACGTAGGTGGGTGACATGAAAGCCATTGGTGATAGATTAGGGAGGTGGGAGGAAGCAAAGGCGGGGGGACCTCTGGGGCTGGATAAAAAGTAAAATGAGAGACACATGCTTCTTCTACTCTGGTGGTGCAGGATCCTTAACAGTCAACAATGAACATGATAACAATAGCAGTGCAGGAATTTGTGGTCTCTGTCCTGGCACCAGGCATTTGGTTGTGCCCTGAAGGGTCCAGAAAAGGGGAGGTTGCAAGTTACCCTGACATTTCACAGATATGTTATCGTAGATGCAAAAGGACCATAGGCTCAGTTAAGGTAAAGAGTGACCTTGTCAGGGAAGACACCCACCTAGGAGGTGACTGCCCACCATAACTGCTTTTAGTTCAAGTTTAATTTCAGACCATCATTGTGGTTATTTTAGGTCTTGAGTTTGCAAAACTGCCATGAGCCTGTCAGGTTAGCATGTGGCTTTTTTTCATCCACAGTCCACCTGAGAGCATCCACTGCATGCAAATTCCTCCCCCAGTGCTGGGGACAGAGGCACAAGAAATGTGGGCAACGGGGAAGAAAATTGATTGAGTACCTGTTACTCTTATTGTGGACGAAAGGGGCCACATGCTAACCTGACAGCTCAGGGAGGCCTGTGTGGCGGTCCTGCAAACTCAGATCTAAAGTGACCACAAGGATGGTCTGAATTAAACTTGAACTAAAAGCAGTTATAGTGGGCAGTCACCGCCCAGGTGGGTGTCTTCCCTGACAAGGTCACTCTTTACCTTAACTGAGCCTATGGTCCTTTTGCATCTACAATAACATACCTGTGAAATGTCAGGGTAACTTGTAACCTTTTTTCTGGACCACCTCAGGGCACAACCAAATGCGCTTGGTGCCAGGACAGAGACGACAAAGTCCTTCACTGCTATTGTTATCATGTTCATTGTTGACTGTTAAGGATCCTGCCCCACCTGAGTAAAAGAAGCATGTGTCTCTCATTTTACTTTTTATCCAGCCCCAGAGGTCCCCCACCCTTTGCTTCCTCCCACCTCCCTAATCTATCACCAATGGCTTTCATGTCACCCACTTACATCTTCTCCTTTGATTGTAATGTATAAAAATAGATGAAAACCCGCCATTCTCTGGAGCATTATCCCAATCGGTTGAGATTTTGCTTCCTGGCAAGTGTCGACCTTCCCCCATAAGATTTGGGTCGTAACCCTGATTGGTCTAAAGTGCATACTAGAATCCAACTGAGGTAATTTCAGTGTCCTGTTACAACCAGGGCTACAAGAACGGGCAGGCTCCTGGTAGTTAGGGCGCAGCCGCCAGGCCTGGCCCAGTGAGGACAAGCTGACTTCCCTGAACGGCAGAGGAAGAAAGATGCTACCTTCTGGACACACAAGGAGGAGGGTTTCTGTTGTTTGCAACCAAAAGGGTCTGATACCACTAAGAACTTTACACAAAATAAACTCCATTAGTCATGGATCCTGTTTGATGGACACCATTGTCTTCATTTTACAAATGAGGACACTGAGGTGAGATGTGTTAAAAGGACTTGTCCGAGGTCTCCCCGCTGGGAGATGCACACTCGGGTCTCCAACCAGGTCTATGTAACCCTTAGCAGTCACTCTGAGCAGGGGTGTCCCAGCTTCCCGGAACGCCCATCCTCTGAGCACGGCTGCTAGAAGGAAGTACTGCCTAGGGGCCATTGCTGGTGCAGACAACTTACTACCTCGTGGCTCGAGCAGACTGCGTCCTTTCTGGGCAACTCCAGAGACGAGCCAGTCCTCCTTGCGCCCCTTTGCTGAGCGTGCTTTCTGTACACCGAGTCTGCAAGGAACAGTGAGGTTACCTTGTGGCCCTCCCCTCCCCTCCCCTCCCCTTCCCCATGGCTCTCTTTTCATGTCAGTTTCTCTGCCAATCGAGTCCTTAGGTGCAGTTTGCTGAGAGGTAGAAAGGGAGTCTGACTGTAAGGTGGATCCTAGCAAACCTGCTGGACTCTCTTCTCCGCACCCCAGGGATTGGTTCTTGGAATCTGTGCCCGTTGGCGGCAGTCAGGCTGGCCGGGGCCCATCTCCACGCCCTCCCCAAGCCCGGGGCGGGGGCACTGTCCCTTGTGCGGCACCCGGACCTTGGGACCCGGGACCCGGGGCCTCGGGGGACCCCCAGTATTGACCCTCCTCATTCTCTTGCCATGTAAGACTGCATGTCTGTCCCCCTGGCCCGGGGACCTAGTGTGAGGAGAGGCCTGGTCCAGGGCGCTGCTGCCTGCGATGACCACACAGTTCCCACGGGCAGGGCTTTCCCAGCTCCGGCCCCGCATCCTCCGACTCACCCTCGGGACTCCCGGCCTCTGCTTCCCCGGTGTGGGTCTTCCTCCTCCCGGCTCCAGGCTCTTTGGCTGACCGGGCTGCAGCTGGAGGACAGAGGCCTGAGGCTGGAGT